ACAGACAGACAGACAGACAGACAGACAAAGAAAGACAGAGAAAGAGAGAGAAGTGTGAGCAGGAAAGAGTAACAGAATGACAAAATAAAGACTACTATAGCCAGGGAAGAATTTATAGAAGGAAATGTGAAAACAAAGAGATGCTGAGCATTGGAGGGCAGTGAGCAAAGGACTGCAGAGAACAGCCTTCGTTCAACAGCCACCTGCAGACCCCCGAGGAGATCACAGGTCCTTCCCTTCGTGTTATTCACTTGCCTCTAAATCCATCTTTTCTTCATACCTGATAACTCTGCTGCATGCCCATCTGCATCTCCATATTCAAATTCCAGAGTTGGGCAGTCCACAGAACCCTGTAATAGAGAAAAATTCTGGTAACTGGGGTAACTTTGGAAAGGGGTTGCCACAGGAAAAGCACACCTTTATTTCATCTTCTTTTGGAGACCCTTAGATCAGGAAGGCAGCTACAGAGTCCCATTTGGTCTTTTCATCTGAGAGGAGGCTCTGTCAGGGAGGGGCTGAGCATTTCCATAGAGAATCAGAAAGTCTGGGTGAAGAACAGGACCGTGAGCAGATCTAAAAGCTATAATCTGTCTCCACATCTAATTTACATACACATAGACCAGAGGAGCACCTAGGCGATCTCTAGAAAAATGAAATGGATAAAAACAAAAAAGAGAAAATGGAAGAGAATTGAGTTATAGACACATTTCTGTCATTAACACACTGATTGGAGGCATATTTTATGCTGTGGGTGACAGCTCCTTATCTGTAAAAGGAGATTCTTCAGTTCTAATATTTCACAACTTAAGGATTGTCAAATAAGGCAGCATCTCCAGTCCAAGTCGCATTAAAGGTTAGATTTTTCTACAATGTTCCTTGTATAATCCTTAAGTTTTTAAGGAGGTATTTCCTTCTAATATATAAGAACTTTAGACTGGCTAGATAGCTCAGCAGACTAAAGTGCCTGCTTAAGCAAGCACAGGGACTGGGGTTTGATCCCTGGCATGCCGTGCCAGCCCCACCTCCCCCAGGGCACACTGAGATGGTGATTGAGACTGGGCATGGTGGTGCACACCTGTAATCCCAAGAAATTTAGAGAACATTTAATGACAAGTTTCCTCAAATTCATCAATGAAATTGAAAGGGAAGTAATTCTCCAAAACATCATTCCTAGAGGCAAGTATTATTCTGATTCCAAAACCAGACAAAGATCCAACTAAAAAAGAGAACTACAGTCCAATCTCTCTAATGAATATAGATGCAAAAATCCTCAATAAAGTACTAGCAAACAGAATTAAGCAAATCATCAAGAACATTACATCACAACCAAGTGGGATTCATTCCAGGAATGCAGGGATGGTTCAACATATGTAAATCCATAAACGTAATACACCATATCAATAGAGTCAAGAACAAAAACCACATGATCATCTCAATAGATGCAGAAACAGCTTTTGACAAAGTCTAACACTCAGAGGTCAGCCAGATAGCTCAGCAGATTAACGTACTTGCTTAGGCGGACACAGGGACTGGGGTTTGATCCCTGGCATGCATGCCGGCCCCACCACCAGATTGCACTAAGGCAGCAACTGAGACTGTGCATGGTGGTGCACGCCTGTAATCTGGGTGCTTGGGAGGATGAAAACAGGAGGGTCACTACAAGTCCAATTTGTGTAGTAAGACCCTGTAGACCTTGCACTAAAAAAGTCCAACACTCATTCATGATAAAATCCCTACAGAATAGGAATATACAGTCTATAACTCAACCTGATAAAAGCCATTTATGAGAAACCAACAGCCAACATCATACTAAATGGACAAAAATTGAAAACCTTCACTTTAAAATCAGGAACAAGACAAGTGTCACCACTGCTATTCAACATAGTTCTAGAAACAATGGACAGAGCAATTAGACAAGAGAGAGAACTAAAAGGAATAAGTATTAGAAAAGAAGTAGGGCCAGGGAGATAGCTCAGTAGAATAAGGGTTTGCGGGCCAGGGAGATGGCTCTGTACTGTAGAACAAGCACTTGCCTAGCAAGTGCAGGGGTCTGAGTTCAATCCCCGGTTCCACAAAAGAAAAACAAAACAAAACAAAAAAAAAAACTTGACAATTATTTTCTCAATAAAATTATGGAAACACACACACACACACACACACACACACACACAGAATAAGGGTTTGCCTGGCAAGTGCAGGGTCCTGAGTTCAGTCCCTGGTATTGCAAAACAAAACAAAACAAAACAAAACAAAACAAAAAAAGATGAAGAAGAAGTAGTAAAGTTATCTTTATTTGTAGATGACATGATATTCTACATAGAGGACCCTAAAAACTCTACTAAGAGTCTTGTAGATTTAATCATCAAATTCAGTAACATAACAGGATACAAAGTCAACACCCAAAAATTGGTAGTATTTTTGTACACAAATAAATGCACTGCGAAATGAGGGAAACCATATCTTTCACAATAACGTCCGAAAAAATGAAATACTTAGGAACAAATCTTATAAAGGAAGCAAAAGATTTATGTAGTGAAAATTATGTACTCTGAGAAAAGAGATTGAAGAGGATTTGAGAAAATGAAAAGATATTCCATGTTCCTGGATAGTAAGAACCAACATTGTAAAAATGGCCATATTCCCACAATTTTTACATAGATTCAATGCAATCCCAATTAAAATACCATTAGTATACCTCACAGAGCTAGAGAAAACTTTCCTCAAATTCATTTGGAACCAGAAGAGACCCAGAATATCAAAAGCAATCTTGAAAAATAAAGGCAAGGGGCTGGTGAGATGGCTCAGTGGTCTAAAGCACCTACTTAGAACAAGCTTAGCAAAACACAGGGACCACGGTTCAATCCCCCAGCACCATATGCCAGCCAGCCCCACCCCCTGGTGGGTTGAGCTGACCACACACACACACACACACACAAATAAAAATAAAAAAATAAAAAAACAAAGGCAAGGCAGGAGGTATCCCAATCCCTGACTTGAAATTATACTATAAAGCTATTGTGATAAAATCAGCATGGTACTGGCATAGAGACAGACCAGAGGATCAATGGAACAGATCAGAAGATGCAGACACAACTGCAAACACACTTAGCCACATTATCTCTGATAAAGGGGCCAAACATGTTCACTGGAAGAAAGTCTCTTTAATAAATGGTGCTGGAAAAACTGGCTTTCCATATGCCAAAGGCTAAAAGTAGACTGTCATTACTGCACTAAACTACAGACAAAATGACAGATTTAAATATTAAAATATTTAAAAATTATTATAAAATATTATAAAATAGAAACACTAAATCTTCTGGAGGAAAAGGTAGGTAGAAATCATAAAGACATAGGGGTAGGTACAGAGTTCATGAACAAAAAACAAACTCCATGGGAAATACTTCAAAGAATCAACAACTGGGATCTTATCTTTTTGAAAAGTTTCTGTACTTCAAAGGAAATCTCCAACAGAGTAAAAAGAAAACCAACAAACTGGGAAAAAATTATTGCTGACTGCCTCTCTGATAAAGGCCTTCTATCTAGAACATATGAAGAATTTAAAAAAAAAATCAGGCCCCTCAAATTCAAAGACCCAATCCAAAAATGGGCATCTGAGATGAATACACACTTTTCAGATGAAGAAATATAAATGACAAGTAAATATATGAAAAAATGTTCAACATTGGTCATTCAAGAAATGCAAATTAAAACAACACTGCGATTCAATTTCACCCCAGAAAGAATGGCTAACATCAAGAAGTCAGCCAGTAACAAATGCTGGAGGGGTTGTGGGGAAAAAGGAACCCTTCTCCACTGTTGGTGGGAGTGCAGACTGGTATAATCACTATGGAAATCAGTGTGCAGATTTCTTAAAAAGCTAGGATTGGAGGTCCCATTCAAGCCCGTTATTCCCCTCCTGGGTATTTTTCCAGAAGAACTAAAAATATCATACCACAGCTATATATGTGCACTCATGTTTATAACAGTGCAATTTGTCATAGCTAAATCCTGGAGACAGATTGCCCATCAACTGAGGAATGGATAAAGATGATGTGGTATTTTTACACAATGGAGTATTATTCAGCTATAAAATAGGATAAATTTGAGATTTTTGTCAGTAAATGGATGCAACTAGAGACTATACACTCTTAAGTAAAATAAATCAGAGCCACATGTGCAAACATCGTATTGTCTCCTTAGTGTGAGAACCTGAAAGAGAAAATAGAATATGAAGGGTATGATAGATACTGGGGAAAAGGAAATGAAGTTATTCAAAAGGAAGAAGTTACTGAGTTGAGGAGACGGACAGGAGAGGGAATGGGGGAAAGAGACACATATGTAAGCAGGATGGTTTGGACAACTGTACTATACATTTCTCCTTGTCTATGGAAAGAAGCAGATAATCCTTAATTTGTTTTGTCTCTTTTTTTCCCCCTCCTTTTTCTCCTCTTAATTTCTTCTTCAAATTTTGTCTGCATATATCTGGCAATATGAATAACTGGTTGGAAGACAACACTATGTATTAAAACAAATACTGTGAAATTCATACTTTGTTAAGTAAGCTTCTGTACACTTGTACTTTTTCTGTTTTAACACTGTTTTGTACTCTCTTTAAAAAATAAAAATAAAATTGAAATAAGTAAGAAATTTAAATATATATAGACATATAGAGAGAATAGTTTAATACTAAGAAATGAGAACTCAATTTAGAGTAAAGGACAATCATTAAAAAACCATATTTTTCACCACGCACAGTAGCATTACTGTGATCTCAGCTACTTGGTAGGATGAGGTAGGAAGATAACAAGTTTCAGCCCAGCCTGCATTGAAAACAAAAAACAAAATTTGTTTGGGGATGTAGTGCACTTGCCTAGCACGTTCTAGGTCCTGGGTTTAATCCTTAGTGTGGAGGGTGCGTTTTTCTTTTCTTTCTTTCTTTCTTTTTTTTTTTTAAACAAACTGTAGAAAAATGATAAATATTTTTATATCATGTCCCAACATACATATACTCAGGTACACACACACACATACACGAACTAACATTTAACAAAATATTTACCCTCACTATATGTGATCCACTGATATTTTCTCTCTTTTGTTTTGTTTTGTATTATATATATTTTTTGACACAGGATACTGCTGAGTTACCTAGGATGGTCTTGAACTTGCAATCCTTTTGCTTCAACCTCCCAAGTAGCTGGAATTCACCACTTTGCCCCATTATGCTATTTTCTATTATTCTATTTCTCTTAAAAAACAAAAAAAAAGTGTCATTCACAGGTTGTTTCATGTAATTTCAAAAACACTTTTAAATTTAATATATTAAACTACATTTTAGAAAAACATCAATGCCTTGTATTTTCTTCATACTGGCACAGACCAGTTAAATTCTGTCAAGAACGCTGAGAACCAACACAAGAGAACCAGGAGATTTAGCTAGAAGAGGAATAAAGCCTCTTTGAAAGAGGGTAAGTCAACACTGTCTTGTAAGTCTACACATATATGATGCACAAGGAGGTTCTCTTATCCATAGCAATTCTCTTCTGGCAATTCCCTAGAAGCCCTAGGGAAGAATGGACATCATTCTTCCTAAGAACTGTTTTCTACAGGAGAACAGAAAGAGGGAAGGAAGGAAAAGCAGATCCAGCACCTGGATTCTATGGTGATAAGGGAATGTACTGACAGGTACATCTGCAGCAAGGGAATGAGGAGGAAAGCTAATCTTTCCAGCCAGGCTTTTGGCAAGCATGAACCCAGATAGAGGCGATCACTGCAGTTGTTCACTTCCAGGCATGAGGAGTGCAGCTGCAGGCAATCAGCAGGTAAACTGCGGTGCAGATGTAATGCTCTGAGTGGCTGGACACTGACTTCATCAGCAAAGCAACTGGTAAAGCCTTTTCCTGATGCACCACTACCCCCTAAAACAGTGCTTGGCATATAGAATGATTTCAATAACTAAGTGATGAATTAAAAAAATAATTCACCCTCCAATATGTATTCTCTATGGGTGAAGGAGACAGGGTACTCTTAACAGACCAGATCCTTAGCAAGGGAGACAAAGAGAGGGAAGGCTAAGCTCTGTCAGTCTTTTTATCACCTCTACTTCTATCTTTTTAAAAAATAGAAGCTTAGATTCCAGTTCTTGGGAGGCAGAGAGGGAGAAGGATTGTGAGTTTGAGGTCATCTAGGCTACCAATTGAGGTCAAGGCCAGTCTGGGTTCTACTGTGGCCCTGTCTCAAAAAACTGAAAAAAAAAAAAAAAAAAAGGAAGTGGGGTTGAAGAAAGGCAAAAGGACAGAGAGCAGAGAAGAAGGGGAGAAAGGGAGAGGGGTGAGAGAGATAGGGGGAGGGTGAGTGAGAGCAAGCCAGGCCCCTAAACCTGGCACTCAGGAGGCTGAGGCAGACTTGTAAGTGTGAGGGCAACTTAGGGTACCTACCAAGACCTGTCTCAAATGTAAAAAATAGGGATTCAGAATGTAAGCTTTGTGATAGGGCACATGATTAGCATTTGCTGGACTGTGGGTTTCTTTCATCCAACAATCAAACATCAAACCAAACCAAACCAAAACAAAACAAAAGTGTAAGGGGACAGAGAAGGAGAGGGAGAGGGAGAGGGAAAAAAGTGGACAGTTCCTACTTTGCTGGTATCAAAATGAAAGCTCACACAAATTCCTACTTTGCTTTTATCAAAATGAAAGCGCACACAAATTCCTACTTTGTTTGCATCAAAATGAAAGCTCACAAGAAATCAGTTGGGAAACTGAAAGTCTATTCAAATGGTTGAACAGTGCACAGGAATGCCAAAAACATGGCTCCTAATATCAGCTCTGCCCTATGATGATGATGGTGATGATAGTAATATGATACTAAAACTCACTATGTATCAACCTATTAATTTCATGAGTTATACCCTACATTTCACATTCAGTTATCTCATTTTTACTCCATCACAATCTCCTGGGGTAAATGGCGTTAACCCTGTTTTACAAGTGAAGAAATTGGAGTTCTTGGAGGTTTGGTATTTTGCCAAAAGCGAGGAAGTACAGGGTAGTGCTAGGATCCAAAACCGGGCCTGACAGGTGCAGAAGCTCACCACTCATTAATACAGGTGTCTGACAGCAATTAGCCACTAGGAAGAATGTATGCAATGTGTTAATTATTGAAATTGTCCTACCAATTTGGTTTGAAACTGTCTCATTGCTATTTGTTTCTCAGTAAAATTATGGGAAAATAAATAAAAAATCCAGGTGTTTGATCTTGGGCAAATTAGTTCTGACTCTTTTACTCTCTGTAAAACGAAAGTGCCAGATCAGAACATCTCCAGACTCTTCCACTTGACATTTGCTGGTCTCTTCTCCTGAGTCCCACTCTGATCCAATTTTACAACTTGGCGAGTGGATAGAAACAGGCTAGGTGAGGGTGTACGGATGTGATAATAATCCAGGGCTTTCGTCGTCCTAGTTTGGATCTTTTTTAGAAGATGAAGAGACCTAAATATTCAAGTCCTAGCTGTATCCTAGGTCAGTTCGTCCAAACACCCATTTGGGTACTGTCTGTGCCTGGATCCCGCCGGCATTAACCCTTACAGGCAGGGGCCAAAGTCTGCGGGAGGGATGCGAAGGGCAGGGCAGGAGCCCCGCGGCCAACCTGGCCCCCAGTCGGGCGCCACCCGGGCCTGCCGGGCAGTCCCGCGACCTCTCCACGCTGGTGCCTCCCTTCAGTCGGGATCCTAGTTCCTGCTTCAAGGGGCTGCAGAAACCCAGTGAGATGAATACCTGAGCCCTAAGTGGGACGCTCGCTACCTCGCTTTCTCGGCTCCCAGCGGAGACAGGAGAGCCCCGACCCTCGCAGGGAGGCGCTGGGGAGCAGTCGCGGCTGCACAGCTGTGTCCCGTTGCGGCGCTCCCGCGGTCGCCGAGACCCAGGCCAAGCCCCCGTCATCCCACACGCGCTTCCCGCCCGCGGGCGTCTCCCGGCGCCAACCGAAGCTCTCTAGCTCCTCACCTCGGACTCCCGACGCTGGTTGCGGAACGCTTCCCGACCCTTGGGCGCCGCGGACTTCCCTTTGCCGTTGCCGTTGCCGTTGCCGTTGCCGTTGCCGTTGCCGTTGCCGTTGCCGTTGCCGTTGCCACTGGTAGGCAGACTCCCGGCCCCCGGCGCCGCTAGGTCCTCCATGTGGCCGATCGACAGCTTTGCTCCGCGGCTCGGCACTCTCTAGCCTGGGCGACCCCGCCGAGGCGCTCCCGGAGCCACGCCCACCCTCTGCGTCTCTATTGGCTTTGATCTCTTGACGCGGCCCCGCCCCGCGGCGCGATTGGCTGCTCGACGAGTAGGAGGGGGACTGGGAGGAGGTGGGGGCTCTTTCAAGGAATATCCCGCTCCTTTCTTTCCCCCCTTATTTCTGCGGTGTTGCTAGTAGCCAGGGATACCTGGGTTGGCTCCTCGCCCCACTTCTCGAACACCGGGAGGCAAGCAGGTTAGCTTTTTGCTTCTCGCAAGGTGTCCCTTAGCACCCAACCTCTCCCAGATAGCTACCTTTCTGAGAGCTCCAGACTCCGCCCCCTGCTCCACTGCCGCAGACCCAGACCCCGGAATCGCGGCTGCAGGACACGTCCGCATCCCACTTAGTCTCGAGGGAGGCTAGAGACACCGCAGGAAATGAGAAACTCGACTTTTTTGGAAGCTTTCTAAAGAGAATGCATCCGTCCTGAAGAGAGGGCTGGCTGGGAGACGCGGTGAGGGGCGGGACTGGGCGTGTTTTTATTTCCTTAAAATCGCGGGTGCCTTTGAGAGCTGCTAGTGGTTGTCTGCCCTTCTCTGCTGTATGGACACCTTCCTAGCATTGTGAATAGATAGCAACTCCCAGGTTCACCCTCCCCCGCCTTTTGCCTTTCTGCTTTCTTCTAAGATCCTTTCCAAGGGCTCAGTGTTACAGGGCAGTGAGGCTGCGCTGTCTGATTATGGTCTGTCCTCTAGAATTTATCTAAAAAGCAACTTACAGTGCATATCTGGCAGTTCTGACTGAGTAATGGAAGCCCCGGACCAAGGGGCGAAAGGGCATGGATGAGACCAAATCTCATATCCAAACCCAACGTCCTCCGTGCCCGGCGCTGCGCTGGAAACTTTCTAGATAGCTTATCATACTTTTCTTTGGTATGAGAGAAATAACCTTTTTTTTTTTTTTTTTTTTTTTTTTTTCGGAATCGGGGATTGAACTCAGGTCCTTGTGCTTGCCAGGCAAGCACTTATTCTACTGAGCCCCGAAATAACCCGGCCCCGAAATAACCCCGAAATATTCCCGGCCCCGAAATAACCATTTTTACGAATAATGTTTCCTGATGGGAAACCAGGACTCACAAAATACTCCTACTTCTCACTGTGTCTTACAACCCTGAATATCTTGTATCTTGTCTCAGTGTTCAGAGGGTGTTGTTCTCGGAAGGAAACTTTTGTTCTATTGGTTGACTCCGTTACAGATGGTAGTTGTCACACCCTCCTCCTGATCCAGAAAACTTTTTTGTTTTGCGGTACCTGGGCTCAAACTAAGGACCTTGTGCTTGCCAGGTAGGTAGGTGCTTACACCGCTGAGCTATCTCTCCGGACCCTAGAAATATATCTATGTATAAAGACAGAATTTTGTTGTTGTTATTATTGATACAGGGTCTTGTTTCATAGTTTGGACTCCTAGAGACCCTCCTGTCTCAGCCTCCCTTAGTTCTGGGATTGCAGATGGCACTGTGAGACCGGGGTTCGGGGGCTGGCATGCAGTGCGGGACTAAACTCAGAACCTTGCACTTGCCAGGCAGGTGCTTATGCTGCTGAGCTATCTCCTCAGTCCAGAAAATGTTTTTCTTTTTTAAACCATCCTCACTTGCTTCAGGGTATGCTGGTGTCCAGCCAACTTTGCCAGAATCCAAATCAGCATTTCCCACCATTTCTCAAAATCAAAGAGCCAACCAGGGAGATAGCTCAGTGGAGTAAGTGCTTGCATGGCAAGCATAAGGTCCTGAGTTCAATCCCTGGTAGTGCAAAATAAATAAATAAATAAAAATCAAGGAGCCAAAATTATTTACCTTTTCTTTTTTTTCTTTCTTTTCTTTTTTTTTTTTTTTTTTTTTGGCGGAACTGGGGATTGAACTCAGGTCCTTGTCCTTGCCAGGCAAGCGCTTATTCTACTGAGCCATCTCCCTGGCCCAATTTACCTTTTCATATGGTAGAGAAAAGTGCATTCCTTTTGGTCATGTCTCCTTCCCTCTTCTCTCTGCTGGTTGGTAGGTGCCTGATCAACGCAGGCTTGAGAGAAAGCACTCATTGGAAATTTATGGTTTTCCTTCTGTCTGAAGTCCCAAACATCTTACCTCTGCTTATCTCTTTCCTCTATGAATCCTATCTGTGCCTATCAAACAGCATGGATGTCGGGGCTAGTGAGATGGCTCAGTGGTCTAAAGCACCTACTTAGAACAAGCTTAGCAAAGCAGAGGGACCGCGGTTCAATCCCCCAGCACCACATGCCAGCCAGCCCCGCCCCCCTGGTGGGCTGAGCTGGCCACACACACACAAATAAAAATTTTTTTAAAAACCCAAAAAACAGCATGGATATAGGCTGTTCAGGAGTATGGCCAACTTTCACAACCTCTATACTACTGACATTTTGGGTTGAGAAATTGGGGGGGGGGGAGGTGTCCCAAATGTTAAAGGATGTTTAGCAAAATGCCTGGCTTTTCCCCAGAGACGTTAGTAGTACCTGCTCCTTGCTTGTGACAACCAAAAAATGTTTCTAGATATTACAAAATGTCTCCTGGGGAGCAGGAGCAAAACATCTGTTTGAATCCTCTGGTTTACAGAACTGAACTGATGTGAATTTCTAAGAAATTCCTTGGCTCAAACTGTTTGATTTTGGATTCCCCCCCACCCCCAGGTTAGGATTTGTTAAATTCTTAAAAACCTGTACTCTGAATTAAAATTTACCACCCACATCTACCCAATCATCACTTTAGTTTGATAAACCTGCCACAGCACAAGCCATTGTTTTTCACTAAAAATAAATCATCTATTTTATTCTTCCCAGTACCTCTCCTAAGTAGTCAGAGCTCTAAGACTGACAAGCCCAGAACTTCATATTCTTCTTTTTGGTACCAGGGATCGAACTTGGGATCTTGTGCTTGCCAGGCAGTGTGCTTAAGTTGCTGACCTATCTCTCCCTGTTCAAGAACTTCATATTCTTTCAAACCTCATCAATCAGCATCCTCAACAGTAGTAGAAATCCCCACCATGGCCAATTTTGAGGCTTTGTCACTTCCTGCCTGTTCCTAAGCAAAGGGGACATGGCTTGTTGGGAGGATTGATGACAGTACTCAGATCCCCTTTGGCCTCTAAAGCCAACTGCTGAGCCTACAGCTCTATATGCCCTTACTTTCAGAGAACAGATCTGAAAAACTGGTGCTGTGAAGATTGCAAAGCAAACACACAATCTTTTCTGCAGTCCAGTAGAATGGGAAACAGTAAAGATCAGGCATCTATCTGCTCAATATAGGCCCTAGAAGGAGAAACCAGTTTAACTGAAAACTTTGAAACTATTATAGATCATGAAATTGGAACATACAAACTTCTTTTAACTTATTTGCCAATGAGGGAGTGACAGTCATCAATACAATGTATCACATCCATATGTGGAAACTAATAGAGTTGGTCTATAAACATGTCTTCCCATTTTGCAGAGATGGCTCCAGGGCTGGGTTATTTTAAATTCATTTATTTAAAAGCCTGTGCTACTAATTTCCCTTGTCCTAAATCTCAGGTTTTATCCCCAAAATCAGGCTGCTGGCAAAAGGCTGAAAGTATAAATAGATAGTTACAAGGATCAAACATACCCCTTTCTCATTTAAGCACTTCAATCCATGGGGGGTCAAACACTTGATTAACAGAAGCACTCAGCACCAAGGATGTTTAAAAATACAATGCAGGAAGTCTTACAGTACCTTATTTTTTAGGCTATCAGGCAGTTAGGATAACACAGGAGAAAGAAGATATAATACCCTCCTTTCCCTGTGAAGGGCATGTGTAGGTATAATGATGTGATGGAGGCTATAGGACCTCAGACCGAGCAGAAAGTAATGTTAATAAAGAAAGCAGGGTGTGCCAGGTTTTTTAAAAGTAGTATTTGTTATACAACAGGGTATTAAATCTCTACCTTATGAGATAAACATCCATTTTATAGTCAAGAAAATTGAGGCTCTGCTTGGTAGCTGAGGTTCAACTCCAAGTTAGCTGGAGTGCTGGAGAGATAGCTCAGTGGGCTAAGCTCCTGCTTAGGTAAGCGCAGGGACCAGGGCTTGATCCCAGCACCACATGGCATGCCAGCCCTGTCCCCAAGTGGGTGCTGAGCCAGCCATCTAGTCTGGGCAAGATAGTGCACACCTGTAATCACAACGCTGGGGGGGAAGGGGCTGAAAACAGGAGGATCTCTATGAGTCTGAGCTGCATAGTGAGACCCTGCACAAACAATAGAAACTCAAAAAACAAGCAAAACAAAAAGACAAATTAGCAGCCGGATGTGGTGGTATACATCTGTAATCTGAGCACTCAGGGAGACTGAGGCAGGAGTTCAAGGCCAGCCTGGGCTACACAATTAAGTTTAAAGCTAGTCTGAACTATATAGTGAAACACTGTTTATTTTTTATTTATTTAATTTTATATATTTGGTACAGGGTTTCGCTACACAGCCTGGACTCACAGTGATCCTCCTGTTTCAGCCTCCTCAGCGCTAGGATTTCAGGCATGCACCTGAAATTACCTAGTCTTGGTAACTGCACGGCAAGTGGTACCAGGGATTGAACCTGGGTCCTTGTGCTTGCCTAGGCAGGCACTTAGACTGCTGAGCTATCTTTGCGCTCGTGAGATGCTATTTAAAAAAAAAAAAAAATCTAAATTAGCCCAACTGATTTAGATTTGTAAAGAGGCCTACCTCTTTCTACAATTCTGAGATGGAGAAACCTGCCTAACTGTAGATAGCCTGGGTTGACTTTGTGCGTCTAAAACTAAGGCCAAGCACTTGTTCCATTTTTCATAAAGGAGGAATCAAACTGTTGGAGGCGAGCAAATCCAGCCAGCTGACTTCAATGGTAGCAACTGCACTCTCCCTTAACTGGATCAGCACCAGCTTGAGACACTACCAACTGCTCAGACTATTCTAGCCCTCTGGCTTCTCCTTTAAATAAACAGTAATCAAAGGGGCAGAAGGTTCTGGTAGGGAAGAAAACCCCTTGCCCACAACATGTAGAACTAGTTTAAGCTGTTAACTAAAGAAAGCTACCGTACTGTTAGTTGAGAAAGAACAGGGAAATAGATTCATTCTTTACTGAGGTTATCTGATTAAGCACAAACCTCTACCTGTTTTTACTTCCCTTGCCTGGATGTAATTGGGTCCTCAAGGTCTGGGTCCTTTGGTCTCAAGTAGTGGGGATGCTAACTTTCAGGGCTCTCCAGAGCCTGAGGGATGTAGAACCACAGTTTCTCAATCTTTATTAAACTTACAATCCTCCATCCCCCAGGGTAGTGGTTCTTTACACTCAAGAGCTAGGGCATATGTCAGGCTGGGATGTAGTGGTGGGAGGGACAAGTACTTATTAGTGGAGTGGCCCAGTGTGGAACAAGGAGCTCCAGGGAATGATCAAACTCTACTGGCTATTGTTTCAGCTTTTACATTCTTGTCCTATAGCTTGTGACACAGGCTTAGCTCCAAATTGCTAGCTTACAAAAGCAAGAACCCAAGATAAGAATTCATTTTAAGAATACTTTATTTATCTTTTGAGATTACACAGTCATTATTGCTGATCTAATACAATCACTTAGACATAAAGATTTCCAAGAGCTTCTCAGAAATAGTGATCGTTAAGAGTTTTTTTTTTCCTTTTAGTAAGATGACAGAACTAGATGATTAGTTATATATATATATACATATATATATATATATATATGTATATGTATATATATGTATATATAGTTTAGGACTTGTCCACATATAATCTGCTGGTGTTGCCTATTTTCTTTCCATAATTTTCCTTTATTAAAAAGCTTAATGCAACAATGCATTTTTATTTTTTTTAAACCATGACTAAGTTAATTTTGAGAAAAACATAGGAGCAGCAATTTTAGATATGTTCAAAGAAATGCCAAGCAGCAAAAAAGCTTTGCGCGAGTGTGGCCATGGGAAGCTGTGCTCAGATTGGAGGTAAGATGGGGAGGGAGAAAGGCAGAGGAAAGGTGAACTAGAAGCATTTTTTTTTAAGTTTAGAAAACTGATTAAGAAGGCAAAAAGACCTTGAAACTAGCACAAATTAATTGTACATAAAATGGTATGCATCCTTCACAAGCCAGGGCCACATACAAAGAAATGACCAGCCTTCTTTCCCTTGCTTCCTAACAGCTCAGATGTACCTAAGGTGAAAGGCTGGAGGAAAAGAAGACAGGTTTGCTTTGGTTCCACAGGTAGTGAGAATTATAATTAGAGCCAACCCTAAGATTAACCCCAATAGGAGGCCTGGGCTTGTTCCTTCTTAATGGTTGATAATGGAGGAAGAGAGGGAGAGGAGGAGGGAAAGAAGGAAGGGGAGACAGAGAAAGCATCTAAAACTCAGAGGCAAATACTTTACCATGGGCAGCAACATGGGAAAGCTAACTCAGAAGCCCTTGTGGCTCTTTTATTTGAAGTGGGTCTCTTCTTAATAGTGAGGCAGAGTGTACTCTGTAAGTACTAGCACATAGTAAGCTCTGTAGAGACCAAGGCTTTGCTGAGAAACAGCAGGTTATGATTTTTGGTCTAAGAATGTAATAGGCTAGAGGCCAGATACCTGCCTAATGGAATCAGCTCTGAACATGAGATGAGGTACAGAGGTCTGAATCTTGCTAAAGAGATTCAACTAATTAATATAAAAATCAGAACTGGGCAGGCAAAAGAATTGAGTAGCCTAGTGGAATCATCAGCATTTATGGTCTTATCAAAAAGAATGTATGTGGTACCACTGAGATCTCTTAAGAACCAGATCCTATGGGCTGAGCCTGTATACTATTTCATGAGACAAACAGCCATTTATCCAAGTTCCACCTCCCTATCTCCAAAAGTAAGGTCACTTCCAAACTAGCTTCAAGGGTGAATGTTAAGACCAGAGGAAGTTGGTACAGACAGAGAAGGATCAGGATACAAAGGTTATAATGATTCTTAGCGGTCTGGTATATCCTTGAATCACATTAGTCCTGAGACTTTGAAACAGATCAGCATAAGGGGGGAAAAAAAAGTGAATAAACATGAAAGTATTAAACAGAGTTGGCTGGGGAAGAATGAATCATTTCAAGATTCCAATGGTTACTCCAGATTTTCTGGCTCCCCCAGAAACCTCTAAACCAGCAACTGAATCTCTAAAAGGAATCCAACTCTTAGAAGGAATATAAAATCTCATGCTACTCATATTATTACAAATTTTTTATAATGCTGGAATTATTCAAGAAACCATCTCTAAAACTGAATCCTTAAATAGAAGAGGTTGAATCATAAAGAGATACATGCAGAGCAGACACAGATCAGACCGCAGATCTTGGTTTCATCAATGACCACGGTCAGAAGGATGAGTGTCTGATGAGGTTCAAACTAGTTAAACTAGTTTTGATCATCTGGAGAGCTTACAGTGTCATCTCTATCTCTCAGCCACTCAAGCTGCAAAGTCTTTACAGGGAAACAAATAAACATACCTGCTTTTTGAGAGTGTCAAGCTATAGTTCTGAAAGACATGGTCCATTCCCAAGGCCTTACATCTCCAAATCCTTGGGAAAAATGCCTTTCCCTACTCAGATTCAGAAACAGTTTAGGAAAAACAGGAAGTTTCATGAAGCAGTGTTCTACAATAAGCCCTCCCTTTTTGAGACAGTATCAATCTGGAGGGGGCTTCCTGAGAAACTGCATGAAATGACAAGGAAGCAAAACCATATCCCAGTGGAGCTGGCTTGCACTTTCTGAGCAGAGTTTGGTGGGATTGGAAAGATGGCAAAACATGTCTGACAGAAACCAGATTCCTCTGTCGAGGAAATCATGGAGGCACATCTCTCTTAGAGCCACAAAGCATTAAAATGGACATATATATTCAAGGAGTTGTAGGTGAAGGAGGAAACCTCAGGAGGCACAGGAACAGGCTCAGCTGAGTTTTGGGGGCAGCCTGCCAAGGCCTTAATACTCCTTCCTTACAGCCTTTTTTTTTTTTTTTTTTTTTTTTGGTGGTACCAGGTATTGAACTCAGGACCTTGTGCATGCCAGGACATATTAACTTGGTGGCTTCCTAAAGGCCTTGTCTGGGGAAGGGAAAAAGCTGAGAAAGGCAGCTGCTGAAAACTTATTCCAGAAAACCCCAGA